CAGGAGAGGCGAGCAGAGAGAGAGAGAGAGAGAGAGCTAACGATCCCCAGCCCAGGCAAGCAGAGAGAGAGAGAGAGAGGGAGAGAGAGCTAACGATCCGCAGCCCAGGCAAGCAGAGAGAGAGAGAGAGAGCTAACGTTCCGCAGCCCAGGCAAGCAGAGAGAGAGAGAGATAGAGAGCTAACAAACCCCAGCCGAAATGACACGCAAGACAACTTGGAAATCATCTGGCCAGCTGTCAAGCCAGATCCCAGCTTCCAGCTTCCAGCTCCAACTCCAACTCCAATTCGAACTCCGATCGCCTTTGCCGTTGCCAACTCCAGCTCCATTTGCAAAGTGCTGTCAAAATCTGTGAAGAAATTCATGTTTATGGTTTTGTATTACAACAGATGGGCAAGTCTCTGCCTCTGCCCGCCCTCTCTCTCGCCCGCTCTCTTTCACTCTGCATGATTCTCTGGCTCTCTCTCCCGCTATTTTATCTTTTTTTGTGTGTATATCTTAAGATTTGTATAACTTTAAGCCTTATTAACATATTTTATGCCCCGTTCGATCGATCGTTTTGTATGCCCCATGCCAGACCAGCTCGATCGCCCACACACAACACACACCACACAAAACGAACAACGAGCAACGATTTTCTGGCCACACTTTTTGCCACAAGACGACGGCGACGTGAAAAGGCCGTGTGGGCTGGCCAAGATCGATCCATACCAATTCATTTTGTTGGCCCCAACAACAACAGCGACAAGTGAAGCCTATGTTGAAATTGGTTATGAAATGTCCGAGAGGAAAAAAATAAGAAACAAAAACAAAAACAACAACAAAACTGAATTATAGCCCAAAGCTCATTTGGCTTACGGCTCGCATAGCTCGTAAACCTTGTCTTATACCCCACGGCGGACTTGTAACTCTTTAGTGGACAGCTCATACACGTGTACTTTGCCTAATACAGCCTAATCGCTATTAGAATAAACTTTAATATTTCGTGACTCAGCCAAACCCGTTTCAATTAATGTCTTACTCTCAGGCTGAGTCTCAAGTCGAAACCAGTTGCTCGCCCGAAACGAAGCCTGAACCGAGAGTCTCTTTCGAAAAGGGTTGCACTAGCCATGCAAAAGGGTAACTAGCCCAAAAGTCTTATACGAATTGGTATTCAGAACAAGTTTTTAACATGCACTTCAACAATTTTGATTTCATCATGTATAATATTTTATAGTATTTTATGTGTCTTGCAACGAATGTCTGAGAGTTTCTCTTTTTGTCAACTACTGTCTTTTACGACTTTTATTTGTCTTATACTTATTGAACTAATCAGTAACATTTTCTTATACCCTTATTACTTATAAGAACTTTAGTTGCCCAGGCGTGATTCATAGCTTATAAGATTCCCATACTTTTACTTATACTTCCATTAATCAATGTGTTATTTATTTAAAAATGATTGTCTTATACCCATGGTCTACACATGGAATGCATTCCGTTACTAATACTTTTTTTCAATAAAGCCTTACAAGTTTATACGTCAACGTCTAATACACACTGGTTGTATATTGTTTGCATTATATGTTCTAACTGAGCTCTAATTGCCTTACACTCACTTATTACGTAGCTAACTATTCTTCTTATATATGTCCCATAAAAGTCTTATATTGTTCAATTTCTGCTGCTACTACACAAGATACATATATCGTATTGAAGCTCTACTTGTCTTATACTCATATACTTATACTACAACAGAATGCAGCTGTATCTATGTTTCATATATGTATATGGTTCATACAAGTCTTATACTATTCTATTTCTACTTCTTCTACTCAAGGTATTGCATATCTCTACTTGTCTCTATTGTCTACTACTACTTCTACTACAACTTCTACTATTACTACTTCTACTACTACTTCTACTTCAACTTCTACTATTACTACTTCTACTACTACTTTTACTACTATTACTTCTACTATTACTACTTCTACTACTACTTCTGCTACAACTTCTACTATTACTACTTCTCCCACTACTACTTCTACTGGTACTACTTCTACTATTACTTCTACTACTACTTCTACTATTACTTCTACTACTACTTCTACTAATACTTCTACTACTACTTCTACTATTAATACTTCTACTACTACTTTTACTACTACTTCTACTATTACTACTTCTACTACTACTTCTACTATTACTTCTACTACTACTACTACTACTACAAATACTACTTATACTACTACTTCTACAAATACTACTTCTACTACTACTACTACTACTTCTACTACTACTACTACTACCTCTACTTCTACTACTACTACTACTACCTCTACTACTACTACTACTACCTCTACTTCTACTACTACTACTACATCTACTACCCTACCTCTTGTTTACACCACTCCACCAACTGCCTTCTGCTTCCCATCATCTGATTGTTTAATTGCATTCTCCAGCATTGAGCAACACTTCTAATTCGGTTATGCTTCATAACTGTCTTATACTCTGACAGTTCTACTGCGACTCAATTCTATGGGGAATGCAATCAGCGCGCCCTCGCTTGACACACACGACATTGTTCTAGGCCTTGGATTTTGGATGCAGACATTGTCAGCCTGTCGGCCTGCAGCCGTGGGCAGCTAATTGAGTTATACCTATATATACCGAAAGTCGGTGGCACGGCCAACGCCGCTGGAGCCCCCATGTTCGCTAGCCGCATGACGCGGCAGTTGGGTGCGGAAAGTGCAGCGGGGGGGAAACAGGTGAACGTTCGAATGGAGAGAAGCAGAAAAAAAAAACTATTTAAAATCGACGAGAAATACAAACACAAATCGATTCAATAAATTGATACACACACACACACACACACACACTCGTAGACACAGTCACATAAAAGACTTTTTCTATACAGGTTTTATTTTGTATTTACTTATTTTATTTCTCTCTTCTTTATTTTTTTGGGATTGGAGCTGCTCGCTTTCAGGGGGGGCCGCACTGAAAAATGCTGGCTTAGTTTGGGCTAACGAATCGAATCGAAACGTGTTAGAAAAGAGCATAATAATGAACTAGCATAGGCACCAACAACAACAGCAACAACAACAACAACAACAACAACAACAAAGTCAACCAACTGCGCCGACCCACTCACTCGCTGCAGTCACACTTGAGTTTCGAGCTCAAGCTTGAGTTTTTCTTTATGGTTTTTCATTTGACTTGCGGTCCAGTTGCCATTCATGTGTGTGTGTGTCTATGTGTGTGTGTGTGTGTGGGCGTGTTTGCAATGGCGCAGCCATACGACACCTTCGACAACGCCATCCAACGCCGTCCAACTAAATCCGATTATAACTAATTATTATGAACGCCAAACTCTAGACACACCAAACGCGACGAAGCTGTCAACTGGCTCTGCCAGCTCAATGCTGGCCCTGACGATTGCCCAAGCTTTTCGGCTCCGCCAAGGGCTTGGTGTGGGCAGCCAGACCCACAAAGCTGTCACTCTGTTGTTGTTGTTGTTGCTGCTGCTGCCGCTGCTGTAAATCTCATCCAATTTGGAAAGAGTCAAACGTCTGTTCGATTTATCAGCAAGTGCATCCAAATGACAACGTGAATCTATATAGTCTTTAATCCGGTATTCTACATATCTAATGTAAAGTAGATAGAAAGCGGAGAGCTTGTCTATTCTCTATATAGTAGTTACTAGTGGTAGGTACTTTAAGAATTCATAGAGTTTCCCATTGCTTTGTACTTGTTCGTCGTCGCATTAATATTCTTGAGAAAGCCACAAAACAAATTTTTATGAATTTTTTTTTTTAATATTTGATTTTTTATATTTATTTTAAGTTTTTTAGTAATTTTTTAGTTTTTTTTCAATTTTAAAATTTTTATTATTTTTTTTACTTGATTTTTTAAAGTGATTTTTGTTTTGTTTATATATGTACCTTGATTATTTATATATATATATATTTTTTTTTTATTTTAATAATATGTATAATATGTATAATATTATTATGTTTTTTTTTTATATTAAAAAAATGTAATTTTAATATTTATTTTTCGTTTATTTAATTTTTTTTTTTTGTTATTTTTATTTTAATTTATTTTTGTATATATATTTTCTATTAATTTAGTTTTAGGTCTTTAATTTTAACAAAATTTTCTAAATTAATTAAATTTTTTGTTTTGTTTATATATGTTGATTATTTATATATATATGTATATTTTTTTTATTTTAATAATATCTCTATTATGTATAATATTATTTTTTTATATTTAAAAAATGTAATTTTAATATTTATTTTTCGTTTATTTAATTTTTTATTTATTTTTTTTTTTTGTTATTTTTATTTTAATTTATTTTTGTATATATATTTTCTTTTAATTTAGTTTTAGGTCTTAAATTTTAACTAAATTTTCTAAATCAATTAAATTTTTGTTTTCCAAATTTATATACTTGTATTTTATTATTTCAGTCTGCTTTATTTGTTTTATTTTTTTAATTATTATTAATTTTTACTTTACTTAAACTATTTAATTTTTAGAATTTTTTTTACAACTATTGTAATTTTTTTAAGCTTTTTAAATTGTTGTATATACAAAAATTTGTTTTTAATTATTTTTCCTCAATTGTTGTTAATGAACAGTATTTTTGAGAAACACAACAAACAACAAATTGGCCTGACTCTACGTCATGGCTGCGTCGGCTCTGTCTCAAGACTAAGACCAGTTGAGAATTCTATATATGCTATATGCTACATTGAGTACCGTAAGTACTCCGAGTATTCTATATGTTTTATGATCCATGCATTACTAAGGAATTCAAGGAACCTCACTGACAAATGCTAATATCCAAATGAAATTTTCATTCTCATACATTCGTAGTAATCTCCCCGAAGCATATACATGATTTTGCTTAATGGCCTACTACTTTGATGGCAAACAAGTTGATCAAGTAGTTGGACTATTATTTGTTTACGACAGCCACATTTATGGGCTGTAATTGTCAAACAGACTTACCATAGCCCACTCAAGGCTGTCCTCGTTGCTTCGCCGCTGTCTCTGGCTCTGCAAGAAAATAATACAAAAATATATATAAATATTATATAGAAATATAGAGAGAGCGAGAGAGAGAGAGAGAGAGAGAGAGAGAGGGAGTCAGCTTATTAATTTGAGGCTTGTGTACATATTAATTGTTGTTATTGTTTCTATTGTTGCTCGCTCTGTTTGGCCATAAACACGCACGAGTCGTGTTGGGTCGCGCCGGCTTCCGTATTCGGCCGCCTAGGAGCCCTCGGCCTACTCCTTGGCCTAGTCGGAGCACGCATTTTTCGCATAAAAATCGACATGTTTATGCAGTTCTCATAATCAGCGGCAACGAGCAGGAGACGGGGCCTCCATAATTGCTGCAGTTTTTATGGCTGCGCCTATTGAAAATTGATTAGTGGGCCACAGAGCCTCGCAAGCTCTGAAATCGATGGGGACTGGGCGCTGCACATAAATCGCTCTTAATTTCTAGCTAAATTTTGATGGCATATGCCATTGAGCTAAGCTCGGCCACAGCTCAAAGCTGGCAACTGGTTTACGGCGCGCAGCAGCTGGCCAAGAACATTTCGACGAAGTCGGCAGCAATTGCGATGCAACTACAAACTAAAACTTTAGCTATCGACAGACAGACATACATACATATATGTGCATACATATATTTATATTCTAAAGATATATATGTATATAGAGAAGTATACATATATCAAATAGTTCTTCCAGCTCACAGCATTCTTGTTTTATGCTGCTAATGCAAGTTTTTAATTGAATTACGCAAGCCGGAGACAAATGCTGATAGATTCAACAGACAAAAGTGTGTGAGAGAGAGAGAGAGATAGAGAGACAGAGAGAGAGAGGGAGGTAGAGGGAGAGTGAGTGAGATGAAGTTAGCTCTTGCAAATAGTTGCAATAATTTCTGCAACGTATTTTACGGCATATTGTTGCATGTCGTGCAGTTGTCTGCTCTTTGGGGTATATCCGACTTGCAGTTGGTAAGACTTTGATAGGAAATAGTTGACATAATCGAGATAGTTTTAGTCTTAGTCTAGTCTAGTCTAGATATAAATGATAGTAAAGGGCTGAGCAGGAGCGGGGAGCTGCTGCTGGGTCAGAAATATCTCTGAATGGGGCATAGATGGTCTATATTGGGGTACAATCTAAGTCTAAGTCTAAGTCTAGTCTAAGTCTAAGTCTAATGTTAGTCCAAATCTAGTCTAAGTCTGGTCTAAGTCTAAGTCTAAGTCTAAGTCTAAGTCTAAGTCTAAGTCTAAGTCTAAGTCTAAGTCTA